CCCCAAAACCCCAAAACCCCAAAACCCCAAAACCCCGAGTATATAAATAATAAATGAAAGATCAAATAATAAAAATTAATAATTCTCAAACATATGAAATCATTCTCCTCCAACCAAGACATCTGGGCTGATGAAGAGCAGCTTTTATCTGAAGATGAGTGTTCTCCACAAATCCCGAAGATAACCAAACAATTTTGAAATACTTTGAAGAGCAATAAAGGGAAGGCTAACAAAGCTGATTTTGAAATAGTAAAGGAGCATACTTATCATTCTAAAAGATCATGTGAAAAAGAGGGCTTAAGATTCCCTGCTACTTGTCTGTCTAAATTCCTATTCAAACTCAGCCATCCCAGACACTCAAAATCGAAATCCCAAAATTATGGTTGAACTCCCTCGTTCTCTTCATCCAGGATGCAACCAACACAGCTGAGGAGGATCCCTTCGATTGACATCCTCAAGAGTCTTAAGGCCTAGTTTGGCAAAGCCCAAGCTAGAGACAACGTATTAATTAATTCTAAATATTGCTAAAAATATTTCAGACTTTTATGAGATTTGGGTATACTTTCATGGTAAGGTTGGGTAGGCCTCTATCGATATTTATTTCAATAAAAAGGAGCCTAAAGATCCTCACTAGCCAAGAAAATTTGGCCCGATTGATGAGACTCTGTTCAACAGTAGATTAAAAGGAGTGACTAAATGAAGTTACTCTCCTCACATTCAGTAATTTCAGGCCATTTGAAAGTATTCTAAATGATAGAGGAAGCCAAGATGTACATGTAGCCCTAATGGTTCCACAGGGTCTCTAACATTTGTAGACTATTTGGCTACCTCATTACTTCCCATTGGGACATATGGAGCTTCAAATTCTAAAATTGATTAAAAATTAGTATTTTACTACTTTTTGGCTTGCCATTTGAAGATTTCATGAAAATTGAGAAAACGATTTTTAGCTGCTGCTAGAGAGAGGTTTGGCTCAAAATTACCGGCCTGAAAGTCAAAGAAGGTTTAGCCCTAATTATTATGATTTGAAGAGAAATTTACTCACGTTTTTGAAAATAATTTTTTTTCACAAAATTATCAAGGACTGTTTTGACAATTTTGTAAAAAAATTAATGAGTGGCTGGAGCTCAAGAGTGACATCTCTTAATGAAGTATTTATAGGTCTACTAGAGCCTACTATAATCCTCTTGAAAGAAAATTTTGAGAAGAAATAACTCAACATGCTGTTGTATCTCCAAAATTGATTAATTATTTCATGCAAAATTTTTAAAATTTGGAAGCATAAACCTAAATAAAATTTTGCGAAAACTAAAACTTTTGAGTAGTTCCTAAAGCCTTCAAGCAAGCACTTTTATTCGTCTCCTTTGTATTATTCAAACTCAAAGAAGCAACATAGCGAGGATACCTCTAACCTAATATTAGTGGCCAATGAGAGAATGGGAAAGCAAAGCCTTCGCTGTCAACTTCGCAACTGTTTGACCAACCTCACCAAGATTTGTTACAACATATAATAAGTAAGACCTTTTGGCAAGAAGTCGTAATTATTGCCAAGTTGCCAAAATGTTTGCCTCTCAAACTGACGAGAGATGGCCATATAGAGACAGTCTCTTTCTGAATTGACGAAATATGGGCTAGCAATGTTTGGCCATTTGTATTTTCTAAAAGCCTGAAGAATTAGTTAAATTTGAAACTGATTTACTCATGTTGCAGTAAGTTTATCAAGTATCAGAGGTTCATTACTTTTTTCTGAAATCACCTGTGATCAGCAGATTGGCTACCAATTAAGCTATAACCAATAGAAAGCTACCTATTTTAGAGGCAATTAAGGCATATGTTTACACTCACGAAATGGGGACTTATGAATTTTTCTAACTTGAAAGTTATTAGAAGTTTAGATTCTTGATTAATTTCAGTATTAAAGGCTTTCGAAGGATCCTAGAGGAGTAATGTTTTTATAGCATTGATAATAATTATTAGTGAGCCATGGATGGTGGCTTTAACAAAAAATCTTAAGTACTCTAGTTAACTTATCTCCTCCTCCTTTTTATATCACTTTCAGACTTTTCTTCTCTGTATTGTAAAAATCCTTCAAAAATCTTTTTTGAAGTCTTTTCAAGAATAACTTTCCTTTAAAAATCAGTTTATTATTGCAAATAAATAATCTAAGTGTTTTTGCTATTATGGAACAAATTATTATCTGAGGCTGGAACCCTATTATATTTGAATATGTAAGAGCCCTCAGATTGCCAAAAGTTGACTGTATATTATCGTCTAATATTTTGCTAGAAATATTTTATCCCCTGTCCTAAGCCTAGCTCCCAGCCAACTTCTCCGTCAGGCCAAGCTAGCCTGCCTTTGCAGCAAGCAGCCACGGCCAGGAGAAGCTTGGAGGGCCATAGCCGCAAGGCAGTGGAGGGTTCGCCCAGAGACAGGTTTAGGAAAGGGGAGGAGATGAAGTAGTTCAAAACTTCTCTACATGCTGATAATTTAGTTAAGCTAGACCCTCCCAGACTTATCAGTGTTTGTTATTCAGTCAGTCCTTAATATACTGAGAGGGTTAAGTTACTGTAATTATATATTATGATATCAACAGTGTTAACCTATTCCGGGGTTTTGGGGTTTTGGGGTTTTGGGG